CCCCAAAACCCCAAAACCCCAAAACCCCAAAACCCCAGTCTTTTAGAAATTTTTATAAGAATAAAATGTCAAATTATTTCTCAAAAACTAGGCTGTTAGTCCACCCATTAGCTGAGAATCCCCCAATGCCGAGGATTACCTCAGAATCTATTCAGATGTCTCAGAATTCAAATATTGGAGATGATGGCAAGTTGCAGACTCTGCTTAAACTTGCCAATGAAGAACCACAAAATGCTTCAATAGAGACTAGCATGAACAAATCCTTGAGTTTGGGTGACTTGGTGCACAAGTATCAAGCCCAGAACTCTTTTGGAGTCCCTATCTCTCCTCGTGAAGCTTTGAAGAAGTTAAAGCTTTCTCCAAGTTACATAAATCCATCGAAGAAGTTGTCCAGGATCAAGCTAGATGATTTTGTTGGTACTATTTCTTCCTAAAATATAGATTATTGTAAGAAGAACAACATCGGGCTGACTAACCAACAACATATAATGTACAATATTTTCAGGACATTCAGGAACCACAAGACCTGGAAATCATTCCTCGACAAGCACTATCGTAGCGACAACAAAGAGCTTATTGAAGATCTGTTCAACTTCCTTGAGTCAGGCAACCTTGCAGAGATTACTGAGAAGCCTAAGGAACTAATAAGGGGTACTTTTCCAGGAGGTGAATATCAATTTTTAAAAGGCTCTAAATCCCAACTGTCTCTATCTAAATCCAGAATCCCTCGGAAAGATAGAAGTAAGGAAATGTTTAAGTAAAATGATCAAGAAGATGTCTCATCCTTTGAAAAATTATGATAAAAGTGCCAAAAAGTTCAAAAAGAGCAGTCAGAATGATCTTTTTCAGAGACTTACATTCGAACAAAAGAAGAAAGTCGAACCTGAGCAGAGAGATAAGAGAGAAGTTGAAGAAATAGACCTAATCAAAACAAAGGAGTACAAGATGTCTAGAAAACAGTACTACGGTCAATCTGAAGAAAGAGAGGATGACAATAACCTCGTAGCGGCAATTGATGATAGCAGTCCTTCTAGTATGCCCATTCTGATTATTTTTAGATAAAAAGTTGTATAATCCTGATGTTTTGACGAAGAAGATCAATATCAAAGCTATTAAGTCTTTCCAAAAGACATGAAAGAAAATTAACAGAAAGAAGAAAAGGATCAACAATGAATTTGGCAAAGTACTTAAAAGTATTGAAGTAGACAGGACTCTAAAACCTCCTATTGGAGATATTGGCCCTTCACCAAAAGAAGGAGATAAACAAGGGCCTAATGAGAATAACCCTGTGGCCAATAAGGGCTACAAGTCTCTTAGATGGGCTAATGAAAAGAAGAAGTATCAAAGAATGAAGCAGAACTCTGACCTACAGCAGATCTATCTTCTTTTGCTGAACTATATTAAGGAAAGAAGCAAGAAGAAACAGAGAATCCTTCCAATAGAGATTGAAGCTAAATTTATTGATTCTATTAAGCTCTTTTGTGAGAGTGGATGGGTAGTAGAGGAGGAAGATTTTTACGATATTCTGAACACTCTTCAAGTAAAGAGATTCTACGAGGATCAGCTATTCTACTTCTTGCTTTATTTCATAGACCTACTAAAGTTTGATAGAAAGAAGCTGCTCGAGTACTTTAAATCCTCTGATCCATCCTTAAATAAAAATTTTGAGAAATCTCAGGACCCTAGTTCTCATGTAGACACAAAATTTATTGAAGGGAGGTTGAAAAAGCTTAACAGGATTGTAAGTGAGTCTCCCAAGAGAGTGAGGAAGAACCTCTTCCCTTTGTTACAATAATTCAATGATATCCTAGCTCCTAGGGGTTTTGGGGTTTTGGGGTTTTGGGGTTTTGGGG